GATTATCTTTCCCAGTGGGGTAAAGTGGACAGTGTTTAATTCTAGTACAAAATAGACTGTGTACAAGAAGTAAGGTCCTTTCCCTCAAAGAAGCAAACCCCTGTTCTTGGTTTCCAGGGTTTTATTGGGCATGGCTCAAGTAAGTATGCCTGATTGCCTATGTGTTTGACCCTAGTCCACAGCCCATACTGAACTCATACCCGTGATGTGTGGCACAAAGCCCACACTGTAGACCCATTGTTAGCATAGACTATCATTACAATATCATGAAATTCAAAGGGACTCCTATAAGGCAGAACACCCGAAGAGACCAAAGTGTACCTCCAAGGAGCTGATTTGAGTCAGAATTTTCTCTGCAATTTGCAACGTTAACAGTTTATATATATATATATATATATATATATATATATATATATATATATATATCTTCTAGTAAGGAAAGGTCTCTTGTTTGGCCTCTGGCCTGCCTCATGCTTCCCTTTCTGGTCCTCTGTAGAACAGCTGTGTTGATGCTTTTAAAACCCCTAACATTTCACCGAGCCCCATTCCTTTCCTCTCCTTTGCCTTAAGTCTTGTTTCTTTCTGCCATTAATGTCCCCTGTATTCTTTTTGCTACCTGCCTTTCCCATTGGTTAGTATCTAGCATGGCTCCTGTGTGTCTTTTTCCCCTTGGACATGTGTGGTGGTCATTTGGACATGAATGTGGGGACACACTCCCCTGCCTGCCACTCCTTTGATGCCCCAACATTTCGGCTGCTGTCCCTCCTTGTTCCTTAGCCTCTTCTAGGAGATTCTTCTTCCTTTTTTCTCGTTGCCCATGAAAACTTGGTAAAAAGGCCACCTTTTTATGCAGGAGTTCTATCCATACACCAGGAGCAAGCAACGGTACCAGACTCTCATGCTCTGACTCAGCATGTGTTGACTGCAGTAGCTCTTGAGTTACTGCTGATGATTCTCAGGCATGACTGATGGGCTTGCTATGTGCTCCACCTATAATTTATCTAGTCGGACACACTTCATCTTTTTTCCATATTCTGACCTCTCCCTACTCCAGCTGACGCCAGTGTCACCTACCATTTCCCCCCTGGGTGGCATTTCTTGACTGTTTCATCCACAGTTAACTCTGCTTCCCTCCAGTTTCATAGTGTTTATTGAATTATGTAACAGGGGAGTCATAGGGTGTTTCCTGGGATCTCCTGAGAGCACGGCTCCTTCCTGAACTGTGTTCTAGCTCTTTCCTGTACACTGCCACCAGGAAGTGCTGTACAGAATTGCTATGGGACCTACCCACTGATGACAAGATATTGCCACTGCTCCGATCTCCCAGGTTGGGAAGTCCTAGCTTGACTGTTTCTTGGTTTATTAAGCCTCCATCTGGGAGAGTTTCTCTTAGCCATTATGATACTGAGTGGAAAGTCTGTCTATTTTCATTTGACTTCCGTTTCCATTTGATTTCCAGTGTGGTTTTAGTCTTCTGAAAACCCCAAGTTGAACTCGGCCTAAAATCTGAATTTATTTCTTGTAATTGTAGAGTAAAGGCTGCTGCTTAGCTGAACTTTGGTCTCCACAAGAATGTATAAATCCACACTACCCCCCGCTGAGCAGGGTGGTTGGAAAGAATAAAGCATATTTATGCTCAAAGCCATGTGCTGACGGGCACTTAGTTGGCTGTAATTGATGCTTGCATTTCATCTCATCATCTCCATTCGGAGACGTCTTCAGAACCATGGAGGTAGCTATGAGATGAAACTTTGGGGACAATTATTTGTGCATCTATCAGAGTTCTAGTGATAATTCTGCTCTTATATTCCTAGTGGTAGATTTTTTTTCTCCCCGTAGTTGTTCTGTTCAGCTTCAGAGATTGGATCAGGGTTGATACCACGTAAAATAAGAAAAGAGTGATGTCCTCGAGAAATTGAGACAAATTGGGTAACCGATGACACTAAATGAGGCGGGCTTGCCTCCGGGACAATATAGCCTCTTTATTTTTGACTCCTTCAGTTTTCTAGGATATCAATGAGTGATCCATGACATATGTCTTCACTGTGCCCAAGTCCCATTAGCCAGCCGGGCTTCTCCATCTGGAGGACTGTTCCTGTAATGTGGCTCCTGCTAGGAGCTTGACATGTCACTGCGGTTGCTGCACCTGAGCCCATGCACCTTGGCCCACGCAGGTGTTCCTTTGAACTGCATAAGCTCCCTAAATGCTCCAAAGCCTGGTTGGATAGTGGCCGAGCTTCTGGAGAAGGGTCTTGCTGTTGCTGCTTAGCTGACAGGCATGAAGCTAGTGGATATCCACTTCACTGACACAGGCCCAGTCAGAATGCTTCGAGTTTTACCCCAGTCCTCTTGCTGGTCTTTCTGTTCGGATATAGGTTCTGAAGGGGCTTGTGTTTTTCTCAACTACACGTGGTCTGTACATCACAGGTGGATATTCAAGGGGAAAGAGGCAGGTTTTGTAGAAAGAGTTGTTCTGCGACCTTCTGGCTGTCCTGGCTATGACGCTCCCTGTTTGGATTAAGGAGGAATGTTCTCTTCTGCATTATTTACTCTGTTTGTACCACAAGCCCTGAGTTCTTAAAGTGTTCTTTTCTGCTTCATCTTCTTTGTCAATTACCAGAATGCTTTGCTCTGAGAATGTTATTTCTAAGTCCAGTCAAAGCTCTACATCAGCTTACCTGTGACCTCTTTTGGGGAGAATTGGAGGGCCATCATATGGAGACATTTGGTTTTTCAAGACAGACTGGGCAGTGGTGACGCTTTCCTTTAATCCCAATGCTCAGGTGGCAGAGGCAGAGGCGGATCTCTGTGAGTTCAAGGCCAGCCTGGTCTACAAGAGCTAGTTCCAGGACAGTCTCCAAAGCTACAGAGAAACCCTGTCTCGAAAAACAAAAAACAAAACAAAAGGACAGGGTTTCTTCACATAGCCTTAGCTGTCCTGGAACTAGCTCTGTAGATCAGGCTGGCCTTGAACTCATGGAGGTCTGTGGGAATAGAAAGATTGTGATGTAATGTTTTTTTTTTCCTTCCAGAGTTGGGGACAGAATTTAGGACCTTATACTTGCTAGGCAACACTCTACTACTGAGCTAAATCTTCATCCATCACGTATTTTTCATTTTAGTCCTATGGGTTGTCCTGTAATTACTAAACAAAGTCACAGATCCAGAGTGGGAAGCAGTTGAACTCTCCAATTCTGTTAGTTCAACCTAAACTACATCTAAACAAGCGCATGCGGGGAAATTTTAGTAGTGATGGTTATAAAGAAGATTGTCGGGCTCACGAGGAACAACTCCTGTGTCCACATGCTGTTTAATATAACACCCTAATCAACGTTCTGTTGCCACACCCAGAGGAGATTTTATTGGTGAGGAGAGAAAAGTAAGTGGAGTGTTTTACATTATTTCCTGGACTGGGCATGCCTCTTTACCTCGGGGAAAGCTCCCTGACCTTCCTTTTGGCCTCAAAAAGTTGCATCTGTACCTTATTCCTTCCAACGGATGATGTCACTGGTCATGAAGACCGCAGTGAGGCCTTGGAGTTAGTTGGCAATGCTGCAAACCAGAGTTGCACCTGGGCCGCTCTGGAGTCTTCATGACAAGTACTTCCAAATGCTGCCTTAAGTCACTTCCTCGCTTCTTTGAATTCTCCGTACTCCCCGTAGTCCTCTCCTAGAAGCAGGAAGTCTCATTGAATGGCATTATCATGGTGTTCTCCTGTTCTCTGTCCCTAGAAACCCAGGCCATCCCTAAAGACATTTTAGTGGATTACATTTTGTACACTTCCAGCAGGTCTATTAAAATGTGCGCCGTTTTATGGAGACTGGTTGGCTTTTGATCATTATTGACATGGGCCACATGGGGCTCATGGATTAGAAGAGTTGCAGAATGTTCTGGAAGGCCTTCCCATTTTCTCATCATCATTCACTGTTGCTCTCTAGTGTGTGGGTGAGGATAGAGAACACCAGTGTGCTTCCCATGTACAATAGCCAGAAACCGAGAATAGAAAAAAAAAAAAAAAAGGAGCCGTGAGGAACAAGGAAAAAGCAAGGGCAGGAGCTGGTGATCAGCACTGGAAAGGACAGATTCTTCCCTGAGAGCAGACAGATACCTTTCTGTTTAGATAGCCAGTAGGGGGTCACCTACTGCAAGCTCTTGTGTACATGTTTGGCATTGCAATATAGTTTTCCTGGTTTAATAGAATAAATTTATGAGGCAATACAATAGATTTTCTGGATTTTGGTGAAGTGAATTGATTTTGTGATACTGGACAAATTTCTTATTAAATCTTGTAAGTGTGCAGGATTTACACGTGGGTGTGTAACAGTGCAAACTCAGTCTCATGCTGCACCAACGTTTACAACCTTGTGAAGCCCTTTACTCTAGCGACTTTTATCTAAGATTTCCAATGAAGGAGCCCTTATTTTGATTTTCAAATGCTTAAAGTCATTCCAGTGACTTTGAAATAATGGCCCCTTGGGATGTTTCATGAGATTTTTTTTACGTGTTGAATCACACTAAAATTTTATTTTCTCGGGCTGGAGAGATGGCTCAGTACTTAAGAGAGTATACTGTTCTTGCAAAGGACCTGCCTTTGGTTCCCAGCTTACATAACAGGAAGTTCACAATTGCCTACCATTCTAACTCCAGGGAATCCTAGGCCTTTGTCCTGTGGGCTCCCACACTCACTTGAACACAGATCCCACCCCCCAAAGAATTCAAACTGAAATAAATCACGGAAGAAAACAATCAGCATTATTTTTTAAGTATATCTTTTTCTTCTTTTCAAGAAGAAAGCCCGGTGGTGTCTATAATCTAACTTAGCTCTCTTATAATGGTGATTACTGAACTGTATACCATGTCTCTTTCTCCTGCCCTTGTTCGAGATTCTTGTTCTGGTTGTTAGGGCATTGCCGGAACTGTCAAGCCTTTATAAGTCAAGACTGCAGTGTGTTAAGATGAGCTCACTTGGCCTCTATCTCTCTTTTTTGTCTTTGTTGAAGGGCTGGTGTTTGAAAACTTGGCGTGGGTGCCCATGTGGCTGTCCAGTTTAGTGTGATTCATGACGGAGGACTCGCGGCTGTACCCTCTCTCTCCTCGGTAAGTGAGACACTTGAGTGGGAAGTGCAGAGACCAAGAATGCCACACATTTAGACGGACTTCTCTGTTCAAAATGGTAGTAAATGACAGCTTTCAGAAGGAGAATATTTTTTTAAGGTCAAGCTGTTTGGGTCTGACTGTACTGTGAAGTCACTTGGGAACCTCAAGGCTGGTGACTCATGGCGCCTTCTAGTCACAGTGTGACTGCCTACCAGGTTTAATTTTGGATCTGGGCTGTGTCCTGGCTTATTTTGTGGCTTGTCCCACTGTCATCTCACTTTCCAATAGCGGGACTTCCTGAGGTGTCCTGTACCTGCTGAGAAAGGCCACAAATCCTCATGGTGTCCCCAAGGATCTATCTACTTCATCTAGTCTTTTCCTATTGTCCCGATCCCTGAAGCCCTTTGGTAGCATGGAGACCAGCATCTTGCCTTCCAGAACTAAACCTTTACCCGCCAGTCCTTCTTGTTGAGCCTCTAAAATCCAGCTCCATGTCCTTTCTTTGGGGGAACTCATAAGTGTTTCAGACCCGGGTAGTAACCTCTCCTGTGATACCTGTGGCCTCCTTTCAGAAGGAGGAGGAGAGGGAGGGAAGGGAAAGGGAGTGAGAGCCGAGAGAGAGAGAGAGAGAGAGAGAGAGAGAGAGAGAGAGAAGGACATTCCCTATATACACTAGTCCACTAGTCACTGGAGACATCCGCTTTATTAAATTATTTATCAACCAAGTTAAGTCTCATTGTGGACAACTTCATTCTGCTTTCCAATGAAAAGAATTGCCAATGGCATACATACATACATACATACATACATGCATACATACATGCATGCATGCATATGTACATACATTCTTTGCACTTGTCGACTGTCACAGTTATGGGACGATGTTGCCAGTTCCCAGTTGCCTTGTATCCCGATAGTTACTAAATTGATTTTAAGAGTTCAGCTTGAAGATATGAAGAAGAGTTTGACAGAGAATATAGACTCCCCAACCCCTATGAATATAATCTGCAATCCCTACATCTCACAGAAGGACAAACTGAGGATCTGGTTTTTGTGTCTTTCTGTAGTCTACATAACTCAGATTCGCATGGTGTCTGAAGTAAAACTCCAGCACCTGGGCGTCTCAGTCTCTCCTATGTGGAGAGCCATGGAGCCTGAGAGCTAGGGAGAGCCATCAAGATGTCACAGAGTTTTATGTAGCTGGGATTTGGATGTGCTGGGACAAGCACATTACAGGAAGGGTATTATCGGCTCATGCAGGTTTCATGGGTTACTGGTCCCTGTGCTGAAGGAAAGATTCCAGCTCTTGCTCCCACTCTATGAGTGAGGTGCTTTCATGGTCCTTACTTTAAAGACGAGTAAACTGAGGCCCCCAAAGAGTCAGAAATTTACCTAAGAAGTCAGAAATAGGGAGAGGGTTTGACTGATGCCAATCTAGAATAAGGAGAGACATGCACTATTATTATTTTGGTGGTGTTTTCCCGGAAATACCAGGCCTCTCAGAGGAAAGAAAAAAAATAAGCATCGAAGTGTTGATTTTTTGAGCATAATTCGAGATCAGAAATTGACAAACTTCTTTTGAAGAAGTAGGGGAAAACATGTTAGTATCTATACGTCTTAGATTCTCAGCTACATCATCTCAACTCTACAATTGCAATGTGACAGTAGCCACAGGCAATAAAGGAATGAATGAGACTGACCATGTTCCAATAAATCTTTATTTGCAAAGGCAAGAAGGAGGCTAGATGTGGTCCCCAAGCCTCTAGCTTTCTGAGCTATGATCTATGTGTTGTCTGGAGTGCTTCAAGATCTCATCACAGACAGAATGAGAATGTACCAGTCACCATTAAGTCCATTAACAAGATTTATAGAATTTTATCACAAATTTTAATGAAGCCCTGCTGTGCCTGCAGAACCTGGGTAGATATCCAGGGCTTTATCCATTGACATAGTCTATATACCCCAAGATTGCTAGGCTAAATTTTGGTACCTAAACCATAACTTTGCTCACAGTAAGACCTCAGAAGCATTACTCACTTGGCATGCTTTGTTACACATCTGGCGTGTGTAACTCATTACACAGTGAGTTCCATACTATTTCCTAATTAAACATGTTCATGCCATTTCAGCCATGTACTCTGTTCACACCACTAGATATACGTGTAGACTAGTGTGCAGTTATTTTTGGTTGTCAGGTAATTATATTGATCTATCAACTGCACTTATTTTATTAAGATCAACGACAGGTGTTTACAAGAGCCATGTATTTTAAAACAAGAAATATCTTGGCAATACTCTCTACACTTGAATCCAAATAGATGGTTCTGTTTGGTTTTTGTTTTTAGTTTGTTTTATTTCTTAAATTATTTACACATGCATACATAAGTAAGATTATACAAACGGAGTAGGTTTTGTTTGTGTCTTTGGAATAGACATATATTTGCATGTAATGACAATCAATGAAAATCGGAACCATGACTTTGCAGGAGGGCAAGGAGGGGTAGGGAAGAGGAATGGGAGGGAGCAGGGAAGCAAAGAAATGCAGCGTTGCAATCTCCAAACCTAAGGGAGAATGCAAAGGACTATTTCTCTTTAAAGTGTGCCTGACGACCCCAAGGCATGCTTGTCCGCAGTGTGTTACTGGAAGCCCAGTTACTCTGCTTCTTGGAGCACTTTAAGTCATGTTCTATTTTTTCCTGCTCATTAACTCACTTATCCTTAATCCCTGACATATCAACTTTGTATACATGTCTTCGCCAAGGAGCCACTCACTCCTGTATTCTTTCAGTACACAAGCGGAAATAAAATATCTGTCTACGACATCTTATTAACTGGGAAAAGTAAATTGCAATATGCTAATTAATTTAATTGTATTTATCTTAGAGATGTGTTTATGCTCATGTAATCTCTACCCTCAGTTCGTGTAATGAGTAAAGTCTACTGGACTATACCTAGTTGTACTTTGAATATGTTATCTCTACAGTTGAGTTGTTTATAGTCTTAAAAAATATATATATATTTTTGAATTTTCGAGACAGGGTTTCTCCGTAGCTTTTTTGGTTCCTGTCCTGGAACTGGCTCTTGTAGACCAGGCTAGCCTCGAACTCACAGAGATCCGCCTGCCTCTGCCTCCCGAGTGCTGGGATTAAAGGCGTGCGCCACCACCGCCAGGCTTAAAAATATTTTTAGAACATTTATTTAACTATTTAGTTAGTTGTCGTGTATGTGTGTGTGTATATGTGTGTGTGTGTAGGTCAGAAGACAACTTATAGGAATCAGTTTCCTCTCTCCCTGCCATGTGGGTCCAGGGAATCAAGAAGAGGTTGTGAGCCTTGTTAGGAAGTGATTTCATCCTCTGAACAATCTTGTGGACCCCTAAGCAATTTGTATTTTACAGCTATTTTTAATTTCAATGAACAAAGTAGTTTAATGTAGTGAATAATGACGATGGGTTGTATGCTTTAAAGGGACAGATTCCAGTAATGCCCACGGGAAAGTTAACTATGGCTGGTAGTTAATACTCTCCTTTAGGATGCTTGCCACGAGCAATCTGTAGAGCTAACGTAGCTAAGCCATGCAGTCCTCGTTGGAACTTTTCACTTATTACAGTATGCATGCTGCGTGATTTGACAGATTGTTAATAAACCTAACTTTAATGTGTATATAATATTCTATCATACAAAGACTCTATCATATAATTTGATGCTTGTCTTGGGTTGCACGAGTCTGCACTGAGCAATCATGGAGAGGGCTGGTGGTCCATGGTCCACAGCTCCCATGCCTGAATTGAGTGTCTTCCGATATGCGCAGGCAGCATTGCCCTTTTCTTTGTGAAGCATGAATATTTGGGGCCTAAGGCAGTGCTCCGTGAGCACTGGCAATCAGCATGAAGCCTTCATTTAACTGAGGGTTGATTCATGAGCACAGAATAACAGTGGCTGATGCAGTGTTCCTAAAGCAGGCTCTTAGACTGTTGGTTGCCGTTTAAGTGTTAACAGATAATTACACTTCAGGAACAAAATGCTGGAGAGTTTGTTTTGATAAAAACATCACTCCCGCCAAGGAGCGTCTTTAATAATTATTTCAGTATGATAGCACTCACTCATTTTTGGTCTATTTTATTCTTTTTGTTTTGTTGGTGTTATGTAAGGGCTAATTATCTGCCGCCCTAGGACGAGGGCAGGAAACGGGCACTGTGAGGATGCTCTTGGGTATGTCTAGTTAGAAGCTCCAATGTCTGCTGAGGAATTTTTGTAACTAAAATTTTAAGGCTATTAACTCATTGTTTGCAACACTTTTTATTGTTTAACTTTTGAAAACCATACACTAATGGGGTTTCCAGTGTTTGCATGCTCATTAGCTTTCTCGTTTTAAATTTAAAGTTTATTTTAATGTTGTCAGTTTTTCTTTATAATTACTTTAGTCACTGCTTAGAAATTTAAAGTTTATTTTAACATTTTTTTCTGATAGGGAGGATTTTCAAAACAAATGTTTTGATTCCACAGGAATTAATTATAATAGATGATGCTTTTCAAGTTGTTCTCCTCGTCTTATCCCACTTGTTTTGGTTTTGAAAGAAGAATCTATTGTGTTATTTTAAATTACGTGCATGTGTGGGTCTGTGTGCAGGTGCGCGCATGCATTGGTAGAGGCACTTGCGGAGGTCGAGATGTTGGGTCCTCTTGGAGATGGAGTTACAGGAGGTCGTGAGCTGCACAGCCTGGGTGTTGGGAACTAAACTCGAGTTCTCTGCATGAGTTCCTAACTGCTAGCCATCTCTCTAGACCCTCTCTTTATCAACAAAATCTATCTCTAATTTTAGTGTCAAACAATTTGCAGACACCTAAATATTTGTGCAAGAAGGAAAGACTCAAGTTTTACCTTCATCTTAAGGTGGAGACCCACGTGACAGCCAGACTGTTAAAATACCTTCAGTATTTTCTAATTCCTTTTCGCTCTGAAAAGAATAACTTTTATACTTTGGCATACTCTGCAGTGCT